GGGGGGGGGGGGGGGGGGGTACATTGTACAGTAGAGAGTTACATACATATGCTGTTGAACATTGTATAGTTGTATATATTACGCAGCGTGGGTGTTGATGTTGGCTTTGTATTTCAGGTTTAGCATAGGTGTGGTTGTGTGCAAAACATCGTGCGGTGCTGCCGTAAAAAACTGTTTTTTTTTTCCGGTCGAGTTGAGACATACTTATTCGAGTTAGTGCACGCGCATTTTGGCGTCGTGAGCTTTCAATACATGTTTCACATCATCACGCCCAGTGGGTACAACTCATGTACGTCATGGGCTGGTAGGCAGCGCCAGTGTGGCTCCTGCCAATTACACCGCTTTCGCACACGTCTCTACGGTCCCTAGACCCCTCATTTTTCTATATATATATATGTATGGTGTGCCCCGCACCCAGGTTCTGAGGCCAGAACAAATTTCTGAATTTCCCGCGCGGTTTTTTCGAGTCAGAACCTGAAAGTTTGAGACGGTATCTGCATGAGTACAACACAAAAACAAGCCACTGCGCCATTTGGATTTGTTTTTTGTAGTTACTTTGTCCCAAAACAAGTATTCCCATATTTACAACAACAGGGGTAACTCATGAAAGAAAAAATCCGAATGGCGCAGTGGCTTTGTTTTTGTACTCATGCAGATGCCGTCTCAAAATTTCAGGTTCTGATTCGAAAAAACCGCGCGGGAAACCCGGTCCAACCGTGAAATACGCGTCTTGGCTGGACCAGCTTGTACGTGTATCTGTGCTCCCTGAATCTCCATATCCTGACCTCCACATACCCCCCCTTCTTCTTCTCCGAAAGCTCAGCTTGTTGAAGTTGGGTTTTGGCGCACATGCATGCATGCATGGTTGCATGTTTCTTGTAGTGGAGCAGGTATGGATGTATCATTGGATCCAGATAATATAGCTTTTCGAAAATTAAATATTTCCCTCATAATCCGAAGACAGCTGACAGTGCCGTGTGGAATACGGTAGACATACGGTGTTTCTTACACTGGTCGGGTAAAAAAGTTGCGTCTGAAAGCTTTGGCTAATGCCTTCTTGAGGTCTGTACGGATTTTTTCCGTTTCTTCAGGGCTCGCTTGAACGCTGCTCATTGTTTGTGGCATACGGCTGTTTTCACTGGAGAAATATAGCCGATAAGTGTATTTATCTTCAGGGATACCGGTCTGTGAGAAGGGTTGGCCAGTTATGTCATTGCACTTTTGTTGTGCTTACACCAGTGACAGACTGTGCGTGCTACTATCACCCTACGGAATGTATCTGGTGTATCCTGCATGCCAACGTCATCGGACGTAACGATGCGTGGTTCAACTACGGCGGCAGCTGTGGTTTCATCTGGCGCCTCAGGCAAATGAATTTCGACAGCTATTTCGTGTTGTGCAGGTATGCTGCATTTCCGTGTGGTGTATACAGGCACTGCAGGCGTGTCCCTCTCGACTGCTACCACAGAACAGTTCATACTGTTTTCCTTATCGGTCGTGGAATAGCGCGTTTTGCGGTGGACTGCTGGAATTTTGGTTGTTATTGTATTAAACGACAATTCTTCCGCTTGCTAATCAAGAACACCACGAATGCACCCATTATGCTATTGTCGAGTAGCATATTTATCAGGTCCCAACGACGTCAGCACTAGAGCTTCAACAGGTATTGTGATTTCTCCTAGTGTCAGTCCAAATCGAGTGTACCCTGAAATTTTTAGGGGCGAACCATCGGCGCTGCGCAGATTGATTGCTCCCGAGGGTGCTCTTTTTTTAAACGTTTTGTGACTTCTCATGCACTTTCGTGAAATACATGGCATGGTATGTCACACGCCGTGTCGACTGTTTTTTCGTCAACCGATTCATTGTTTATTCTGGCGGGTACACGTACTCGCTTAGATTTCGATCGCATGGACAGATATCCAGCGAGTGCAGACTTGAAAAACGCATGAAATTCTTCATTGCGGTCAGTCTCATTGGGTTAGACCTATGTTTTGACCTGAAGTCCCCAGCTACGGCAGCTACGTGCAAGGCTTGCGGCGCTAAACAGGCGGCTACTTGCCTTACTTGGGTGCTATCCCCTAGACTAGTGCTGGATCTACAGCGGCTACTGCATCAGTTGTGCGGGTACTTTACTTCGGGACTCCTCGCGTTTGCTTGCTGCTACTGTTGGTATGTCCGTACTTGGAAGGAGAAGACACGTTTCAACTCTCTCTGATTAGGCACCCGCGGGAGCGAGGAAAGGACGGGAAGAAGTGGCCCTCCCGAATTCGGGGAAGGGGGCCCACACATAGTAGCCTTTTTCAGGCATACGCATGCTCCTGTCTACGTACCCCCCCGTGCTGCTAGCAGATCTACCATGCTCGTATCCAGACACACGAACACCCTCCCCGGTTCGTCAAGCTATTGACAAACCATCAGTGGGGCATGGGTACTCCAGATCTACTTAAGTTACTCATACAACAACGGGTGCAAGGGAAAACCTCGGCCATCCGGATCGAAAACCCTCGCCTACAAACTCAAAACAAAAAAGAAACCGTCCCTACCACGAAGGACTCCAACGGCCGCACTATCAGGGCAGGACCAAGGCAGGACAGATTGGACAGGCCACGCTGATTACACACCCGAAGCAATTGGTCAAAAACCCTAAGCTCCCGCCGCGGGTGACGCCCCTGCCCAACGCTTCCTGCGTGACATACCATGGTCCGAGACGCGCCCAGTGCTAGAACAAAACAAAACAAACGCCACGAAAACGAGACCAGAACCCTACATCGGCAGGTTCATCAGAGCCTTCCGGTGGTACTCCAACTTGCCCCTACCAAGGACCTTGGTCAGCATATCGGCGTGCTGCTCTTCTGTCGAGACAT